TGTCCCAAGGCTTAGATCAAAATTCAAAGGTACAATTGACTTTTCTTGACAAAACCCTAATTTGGGGCCAGATGAAATTGGGCTTCAATGATATTGCAATGAGATCAATTAGAACTTTGTTCTTGTTGAATATAAGCTCCTTAAATGTATGAGAATCTTGATTTAATGATGACCAATCCAAAACATTAATTGATCAAGCAATAGTCGTCTTGATTTCCAAGGTGCAAAACCCTAATTCAGATGGATCTCAACAACAAAAACTTGAAACAAGGTTAGGGTTAGGAAACAATGTTTGATGCTCTTAGAATGGTAATGGAATCTAGGGGTCAAACTTTTGGGTATGACACCACTGTTTATCAGTTAATGTACAACAATCCCCTCGGAGTTAACACCTTTCTTTGGTTCCCTACTCTCTTTCTTCTGGTCCCTCGCAGTCTGTCTGTCGACACCAACGTTTTGGCTTTCCCCACAAAATCTTTCTCTTGTTTTTCTCCAGTTAATCACTTTTTGTTAGTTAATGCACCGATTTCTCTACATATCTTATCTTTTATTTATTCTTGTCTATTTCCCTAGTGTCGCAACTGCGAAAAACAACCGGCAGAAAAATAAAAGAGTCGCCACTTTCGTTATTTATCCCACAGAGAGGGAAAGTGTTGCACCCCAAAATTTTCCCAACCTTTCTTTACCTAGCTTGTGTTTCATTTCATTCACATTAGCATTATCATTTGCATTTCATTGACATATGTGCAGGGGATCAAGAGGTATGACTACCAATCAAAGGCTACACAAGGCCATGAAGCTAAAGAAGGTTATTCAAGTGTTCAAGGGTTGATATCCTTGTCAGAGAAGTTAAAAGATCCTCAGAGGAAGGGTTGAAGCCAAGTGTGTAGGTCTCCTAACTTGAGAGTTGTGGGAAGCCATCAGATGATTCTGAAGCCATGAAGTTGGACTTTAGGTCTTGAGAGAGTTCATGAGAAGTGTTGAAGTTCATCCACTATGCCAAAATTGGTTGTTTGTATCACCTACATTAATAGCTCTTTTTAAATAAGCGCTATTAAAAAGGAAACAAACATATTTATAATAGCGCTTTATAGTAAAGCGCTATTAAAGAGTACAGGGAATATGATTTTGATAGCACTTTGTAAAAAAGCGCTATTATAGATATTCACTAAGATAGCGCTTTTCTAAAAAGCGCTATTAAAATGTTGTATTACAATAGCACTTTTATAAAAGCGCTATTATTAAAAGCACTACGATAGCGCTTTTTAAAAAGTTGCTATTAAAATATGTAACTACAATAGCGCTTTCTATGGAACCGCTATCGTTTCTATCATTGTGTATTAAGATAGCGCTTTTATAAAAAGCGCTATTAAAGAAATAAAAAGTAAAAATAAATCAGCAAAGAAAAACAATAGAAGCCAAGAGCCTTCTTCTTCGTATCATTACTCGGATTCCCCTCTCTCTCAATCTCGTTTCACTGGCTCTCTCTTTCAAACTCTCTCCATCTCCTCTTATTCTATTTCTGAATCTGGTTTACGTTTGTTGATGATGATTATTCTGAACGGTTTGGTTTTGATGATGGAAATCGATTGAAGTTTGAGGTTTACGGCGGAAGGAATGGAGATTTGGATTACTGAAAGAGGGGTTAGGGTTTATGATTGGGTGTTCGGTTGTTTCACTTTGAATCTCTCTTCCACTTTCGGTTCTGGTTTTGGGGGTGTTTTGAAGTTGGATTTACGGATGAAATGGGTTTGAAGCCAGTTTGAAGTGAGGGATGGATTAACGGTCGGAGGTGAAGGTTTCTGGAAGGGGTTCCGATGGAGGTTTTGAAGGAGTTTTCCGGCGTTTTGTGTGTGGTTCTGTTAATGGTGAGAGATGGAATGTGGATTCTGTGTTGAAGATTTTCGGATGTTGAAGTTAGGGTTAAAAGAGGGGTTTAGGTACGGTTCTGTTTTGATGTTAACGGAGGGATGTTTTCGGTGTTTAACGGTTTCGATGGGTTTCTGATGTTGATAGCGGCGTGCGGCGGAGTAAGGTGGGTCGAAGGGAAGTTTGTTGTTCTTCAGGTTAGGTTTGGGCGTTGAAGGATTAAGACATTGTTTCCGGGTTTTGCGAGTTGTTGAAGAAGGATCTGTGGTGTTTGAAGGTTGATGTGTTAATGGAGTTTTCAGAGTTTACTGAAGATGGTAGAGGGACCATGTGCTCACTGCCTTTGCCGGGAATGCCTCTTGGCAAGTTGGCGAAATTCTACCTCTGGTTTGTGTCCTGTTTGTAGGTATTTCCAGGTTAACCTGTTAGAATTTTTGATATCTTATCTTTAACTTGGTTTAATAGATGTTTAAGATTGTTTTTATCGCAGTAATTTCAAATGAATTTGGTTTTAGTGCAAACTCCTTGTCCTAAAATTATTTTTAACAGGAAAATAGTCAGCAAGCAGGATCTTATCACCGCCCCTACTGAGAGTCGATTTCAGGTTGATATCGAAAATAACTAGGTAGAGTCATGCAAGGTAACCGGTCTTTTGAATGAACTTGAAAATCTCCACTCCTCAGGATCTAAGAGCATTGTTTTCAGCCAGTGGACTGCTTTTCTAAACCTCTTGCAGATTCCCTTTACTCGGTAATCTTATTGTTGGTTTAATCTTTTGGTTGTTACTTTTTATTATTATCAACATAGTATTTAGTGGAACAACTCTCTTAGTGGAACAACTCCCGGGTGGATCCTGACCAGCAAACAGAACTTGTCAGCATATTTTCTTGATTTTTTTACCACTAACTGCTTACTTTTTACTCACTTGCTGAAATTTTGGTGTTAACACAAGCACGATTAGTCTTGAACACTTGTTCTCACGATTAGTCTTTTAGATTATCTTGTTTGAAGACGAACTTACCTTGTTCGGGAAAATCTCAGTGTGAGTGTTTAGACATGTTAGATCAATCGTGTTTTCATAAACTACAATGTTTTGTAAATGAAATTGTGATAGTTTCTTTTTTAATGTGATGAAAAAATATTTTTGTTAAATTGATATTTTACCCATTCCATGACAGTTTTTCCAGAAGCCCCCTTTACTACCTTTCGTCCAAGGTTCCCACAATCTAAAACTAACAGCCAATATACAGCAGGACTCTTTCCAAGCAGGAAGACAACATCAACTTATCTTTACTGAAATTTAATTCAAATTTTACATTTTACCAAGTTCACTAGATATAGCAGAATGTGTATTAATGTAAAAGAGAGATGCTCTTGATCCTGTCACTGAGCTCTACTGTGACCATCGATGTTTGAAGATAATACTATTTTAGTTTATTCATCTAATATGTCAGCAAGTTATCATTTATTCATTCCGATCATTACTTTAATGTCTCATACTGTGATTAAAAACTAGATATCTACTTTTTGTTTTTATTCAGATATGCAATTACTACCATTTGTTATGGATTCATTTATATGTTCTAAAAATATATTTTATTGCTTTTTTGACTTCTCATTACTTTAGTTTTAACTTTATCTCAGGTTGTGGACACGAAAAGAGAAGGAGATAGCGATTGTGAATCACAGTGGATTCTTATTTCACACTCTAACTACATTTGGAAATGATTGCCACCCCTCGGTGAAGAAAGAAATATCCAAGCAGTAAGCTCTCTCAACACCTCTGCCTCCAACCTAGCAATTTTGATTTGCTTCTCTTGTTCTGTGAAACATGAATTGTTGCTTCTGATGTAGTAGCTCTCAGTTTTATTCAGTGCCTTAGATTTGTTAATTTGGGATCAAGTTCCAGCAACTTTTAGTATTAAACATAATGACTAATCTGGCTTAGTGCCTTAATTTAAGCTATTCTTAGTGGTAGCAAATGATTGACTGATTTAACATAAATTTTGCAGCTTTGCCAACTGTGAGCTTCGCTCCATGATCATTGTGGATAGAAGGTGAGTTTGCAAACAACCTATATACCTACCTTCACACTAAAACCTATAATCTCAACCAAAATTGGTTTAATTTATGTTTTTCATCCAGTATGTTAGGATCAGAAGCATCAACTACTAACTATCCAGGCAAGATACCTTCAGGGCTGGACAAACCTAGTGATGCTGTGGATGAGAACGTTGAGAAGCAGAGCGTTTAGTTTTTCTACATGTATGTGTTTAGTTCCATTTAAACATTGAACTGCTGGATATCTTTTCCCAATGCAGGTCAGGTTCATCGTGCAAAATTAAGGGGACAGGAGGTTGTTATCAAGGTTCAAAGGCCTGGTCTCAAGGGTCTTTTTGATATTGATCTTAAAAACCTAAGGGTCAGTGTTATACTTGATACTTTTTGCATTAGTAACATTACTGTTGGATAATTCTATTACCTTCTGCTTGATTTATCTTAATGACGGTGTTCGTTGGCCTTTTGCATCAGTGACGGTGTTCGTTGGCCGTTTTGACATGCGAATGATGCAGGTAAGGTTTCAGGTAATTTCTATCTCATCAATTTTGGTTTCAACGTCATGCAGCGTGTTGCTGCTCTTTTAGATGTGATACAATAGCTATTTTAAAAAAAGTGTGATACTTAGCTCCACAGATTATGGGATCATATCTGGTTCATTTTCAAATCCTCTATTAGAGTTTAATGTTCTTACATATTTTTCTGTCATCCCAATCTATCCCACCCTCTATTAATATTTGGAAGTAACTTGATAATTGATCCATTTATGTAAGCCTTCATGTTGAGTTAGCCTGTTCGTCCTGGTTAACATAATAATACAGTTTAGGTGTATGAGTTACTCATATTTCTTCTTATCATGTTAAACAACTTGCAGAATTTTTGTGGCAAAAACTGCAGAATGATTCAAATGTTATGACTCTTGAATGGTTAAGACAAACAAGTCAATCAGAACCGAATCATAATGAAAAGCAGGATGTTTCGGAATTGCTTAACGGGAAAGTAGCTGTGAATATTTTGTTGATCCACCTGCCACTTTAGAGAATACAAGTACCCGAGCGTTTTCTAGTCATCCAATGAGGCCTTTCTTCTTGGTTGGTTCAAGCAATACACACATTTACCTGTGGGAGGTTAGAAAATCTTTAGTTTCTGTACATTCATGATGATAGCTGTGAATGTAGATATACACAATTGTCGAGATTACTAATATCTGCATTACTCTAGTGAGTTAATTAATTGCATTAAATGTCAATATTTCAAGCTTATGTCTAATGAGGAGCCTTATATTATACAGTTCAATAAGGACAAAGCTATTGCTACATACGGGGTGCTGCTTGCTGCTAATGTCCCTCCACCATATGATCTTGCGTCAATTTCAGCTTTACAATTTGACCACTTTGGGCATCGTTTTGCCAATGCTGCATTAGATGGAACCGTCTGCACATGGCAGCTAGAGGTAGGAGGAAGGAGCAACGTTCGTCCAACAGAATCATCCCTCTTCTTTAATGGCCAAGCATCGTATGTAAACTTTGTTTTGTAAAACTGAGTTTTGATTTTAGTCACCCTTCATTTTAAGTTGTGTTTGGTTTAAACATTTGATTCAAAATATAAGCATCATGAAAATTATAATTAGCTTTCAAAACATTATTATAAGCATCATGATGGCTGTAATTCTTATGAGGTTGTTATGGTGCCTCTGGATTGGTGCCTCTAGGTTATACTTTAGTTGTGTTTATAAAATATTTTGGTTTGAAGTACTCTTAAGCCAAATTAATGGTATCACATTTGTCATTATTATTTTAATTTCAAGTATTTTAGCTACTTAGTTATAATTATTTTATGAATTCTAATGTCGTAAAATGCAAATGCCATATATATATATATATATATATATATATATATATATATATATATATATATATATATATATATATATATATATATATATATATATATATATATATATATATATATATATATATATATATATATATATATATATATATATATATATATATATATATATATATATATATATATATATATATATATATATATATATATATATATATATATATATATATATATATATATATATATATATATATATATATATATATATATATATATATATATATATATATATATATATATATATATATATATATATATATATATATATATATATATATATATATATATATATATATATATATATATATATATATATATATATATATATATATATATATATATATATATATATATATATATATAAATGATTTGGTGTAAAAAAAAAGTGTATTAGAATAGCGTTTTAAAGAGAGCGTGCTACAATAGCGCTTTGTTAGAAAGTGCTATCAAAATTAAAGCAATTTACTGGTATTTCAATAGCGCTTTGTTTGAAAGTGCTATCGAATATGTGGATTATAATAGCGCTTTGTTTGAAAGTGCTATTAAATATGTGTCTTATAATAGCGCTTTATTTGAAAGCGCTATTAAATATGTGTACTATAATAGCGCTTTGTTTGAAAGTGCTATCAAAATTAAAGCAAATTACTGGTACTATAAAAGCGCTTTGTTTGAAAGCGCTATCAAATATGTGACTTATAATAGCGGTTTTGTAAAAGCGCTATTAAATACAGGTACTATAATAGCGCTTTTTCAAAAGCGCTATTATAGTACCTGTATTTAATAGCGCTTTTAAAGCGCTATTAAAAATTTTGTTTTACAATAGCGCCTTGATTAATAGCGCTTTAAAGCGCTATTAAAAACAAAAAAAGCGCTATTATAAAACTTTTTTATAGTAGTGATCTTGAAGCCTAGATAGGTCATTATGCAAAGGATATGAAGTATACTCAAGATTGGTGCAACTAGGGTTTCATTTGGATGACCCTAAGTCAACTGATGATTTGAAGAAGGTTGAGACCTAATTAAAGATCCATGTGACCATGGATTGATACATTGAGATGTTCTAAGGATGATTCCAATATTAAATCATCATGATTGAAGAGTTTGAGAAGCTTTAGGCTAGGGTTTCTAAGGCTTGACAGTGTAAAATCCCCTGGCTTGACCCCTGACTTCAAGACCACTTAACTCAATATGTGATTTTCATATCATCTTTACCCCAACATGATTGTTGTAGGGCATGATCTTAGCTTTAATTTTAGTACTAGAAGTCCTTGATAGGGTTTATAAAACTCAAGTTATGAGCCAGACAAGTTACAAGTCATCTGAGGCATGTGAATTTGGAGCTTGAAAGTTACCCAACTTGCATAACACGTTTTCCCTAGAAGGATGATTCCTATGAACTTTTGGTCAACATGAATGTTGTTCCTTATTCTCTTAGATTTCTAAATAGTACTAGAAGCCCATGGTTGGATTTGTAGAACTCAAGTTATGGCTTTGACAAGTCAAGGGTATTTTCGGTATTTGGACATTATAGGCCATTTTGATTTATGGGTCCATTTCAATCTCTTGCAAGCTTCAAATGGAGTTTTCTTCAACTTGAAATTTTCTCAAAATGATGTTTTTAGCTCAACCAAGTATCAAGAGTCCATTGATATGGATTAGAGCAAGCATTGATTGAAGAAATTTCTCAAAAAGGCCATTTTAATGATTTAAAATGAAAAAATTCAAAACAATTGGTAATTGGATGATTTCAAACCATATTGTACTCATTTTGATTGGAAAATAGACTCTAAACACTTTGGCATCGTTAGAATTTTGAGTTGATACTCATTTCATGATATTTTGGTGGATTACTTCATGATGAAGTAACACTTCAAACATCCATCTTTGGTTGAAATCAAAGGAGAAAACTCACTCATTTACACTCCATAACTCTCGAGTAAATGAACTAAAGTGGATTGAGAGCAAGAACAAGGCAAATTCGTGGCTTCCATAATTGGACTTTTGAGAAAAAGTTGAAACTTGGAAATCATAAATTGGGTCATGAATGGGCCTTCAATGGATCAAAACAGAATATAAAAGAGATTTGGATCATTTTCAGAAGCTTCTAGTGCCACTTTCGTTGAAGAATCAGTTAGAGCAGTTTGTGGAAGAGGCTTGAATTTTGATTTTCGAGTTTCAAGATAGAGGCTGAATCAAGATCAACCAAGCATCTAGACTTGTTCATCATCAACAAGTGAAGAAATCTGCACCTTTTGGAGGAAGAATTCACCCTCAAGACCACCAAATTCGAAGCTTCCGATAAGGTTCTTGATTCTCAAAATTCCTCTTAATTTAAGCATAATTAAGTTAGTTTGAACATGCGGTTAAGTTAGTATTGAACCTTAGATGGATTTAGAACTAGTTTGGTTAAGTTTTATGACAATTTGTACCATGGCATCCTAAGTTGTAGTTCAAATATCTCTTTAGATAATGGATTAAAATGAGAAAGAACGTGATATTTGTAACCTAGGGAGTGAGAGAAAGAGATTAGTGGCTTCATTTTAAGTTTTCGTGAGAGTTGAAATTTCTTGGTGATTCTTGATGTCCATGGCTTCTTGAGTTTTAATGGAGGAAAGTTAAACTAAGTGGTAGATTCGGATTCCTTGCGAAAAATCCCATGAAATCGGTTAAAGAAACGTGGAAAACGGATGAGAAACGAGGAAGCTCCATCGTTGGAGGAGAAGCCGCGTCCGGAGCACGCGAGGAAGATGACTAGAAAACGTCCGGCGCCGGCGAGGGGATGAGGAAGAAGACGGACACGTGGCGCTCCCACGCGTGTTCGATCGTGTTGGTCAATTGTTTCACGACTGTGATTTAGCTCCACCATGTACCATTCTTTGACTAGTTCTACCATATTACATAGACTTCATTAATGTGTTGGCAAGCTTCTACCCCTTGGATAGCTTGACTTGGCCACTTGATCCTGCGGCTGTAGATTTTTCTGGCTTTTTTTAATTTCTTTATTTCTTTTCATTATTTGTTTTAATTGTTTCATTCATTTTAATTCATAAAAAATAAAAAAAATGCTTAGAAAATTCTGAAAAAATTCGTGTATGATCCTTATCATGTCTATGATTTTTGTGTGCAATTAGATTTTACTTTTGTTCAGTTGTCAATTTAATTTCGTTTTTTCCCTTTAAGTGGATAATCTAAATGCCAAAAACTGCATAGTTTCTTGCTAATTTTTGTTCTGGAGTTCGGTATAGAATTAAGACCTGAAATTTTGTAGGCTGGTTGCAGACATGTTGATGATGTTATGAGATTTTTTTTGTGATTTTTAGATGTTTCTAAATAGGATTTTGAGGTAGTTGTTTAGGATTATTCATTGATGGATCCCTTTAGGATACCCTTGAGATTTAGATTTAGTTTGAGCCTTTTGATTTAGGTTTAGCCCCTGATTTTTGGACCATAGAATGTCGACACATGTAGGATAGTGTAGTATTTTCCTTGGAATTTTTAGGAATGATTTTCTATTAGTTCCCCATTGTTGCACCCCAAAATTTGCCCAACATTTCTTTACCTAGCTTATGTTTCATTTCATGCACATTAGCATTATCATTTGCATTTCATTGACATGTATGCAGGAGATCAAGAGGTATGATTACCAATCAAGAGCTACGCAAGACTATGAAGCTAGCTAAGAAGATTATTCAAGTGCTCAAGGGTTGATATCCTTGTCAGAGAAGTTAAAAGATCCTCAGAAAGAGTGGTTGAAACCAAGAGTGTGTAGGTCTCTTAACTTGAGAGTTGTGGGAGATCATCAGATAATTCTGAAGCCATGAGGTTGGACTTGAGGTCTTGAGAGATCTCATAAGAAGTTTTGAAGATCACTTTGATGCCTAGACAGGTCATTGTGTAAGATTGAGAAGCCCCAGCCATGATTGGTGCAATTAGGGTTTGACTGGGTCAACTCTAGGTCAACTGATGATTTGAAGAAGGTTGAGACCTCATCCAAGAGCCATGTGATCATGGATTGATGCATTGAGATGTTCTAAGGATGATTCCAAGGTTAACTCATCATGATTGAAGAGTTTGAGAAGTTTCAAGCTAGGGTTTCTAAGGCTTGACAGTGTAAAATCCCCTAGTTTGGCCCCTATCTTCAACGCAATTTAGCTCAAGATGTGATTGTCATATCATCTTGCCCCCAACATGATTGTTATAGAGCATGGTCTTAGATTTAATTTGAGTTCTAGAAGTCCTTGATAGGATTTGTAGAACTCAAGTTATGAGTTTGACAAGTTACAAGTCATCTGAGGAATGTGAATTTGGAGCTTGAAAGTTACCCAACTTGCAAGATACTTTTGCCCTAGAAGGATGATTCCTATGAACTTTTGGTCAACATGAATGTTGTTCCTTATTCTCTTATCTTTCTAGAGAGTACTAGAACTCCTTAATAGGATTTGTAGAACTCAAGTTATGGCTTTGACAAGTCAAGGGTATTTTGGACATTTGGAGATTACAGGTCATTTCAATCATAAGTCCATAACTCCTATTTGCAAGCTTCAAATGGGAAAATGTTCAACATCAAACTTGTTCAAAATGATGTTTTAAGGTTATCCAATTGGTCATGAGAGGTTGGAATTGCTT